GAGTATTGGCCCAGGAGGGAGTATTGGGCCCAGGAGGGTGTATTTGGGCCAAGGAGGGAGTATTGGCGCAAGGAGAGGGAGTATTGGGCCAAGGAGGGAGTATTGGGCCAAGGAGGGAGTATTGGGCCCAGGAGGGAGTATTGGGCCCAGGGGTTGGTGGGGCCAAGAGATATAAAATAAAACGAAAGGGTTCTGGGGGTCACCGATCGGAAACTAAGTTTAATAAATCACGTGTTTTTGTACATTAATAACAATAATATTATTATTAATAATAATAATAATAACAACAACAACAATCCTCACGACAACAACAACTCGCAGACACAGAGGGCCTTCCAGGCGGAGTAGGGAGCGGTCTTCAAGCTCCGAACACGTCACCCTGCGACTGAAAACACAGGGGTGGGGGTGGGGGGGTGGGGTGTTGGGGTGGGGGGTGGGGTGGGGTGGGGGGGGGTGGGGTGGGGTCGGTGGGGGAGATCAGGTCAGGGCAAAACTCTGGGCAAGTTTCCTTCCTCCCACACCACCCACCCATCCTCACACCCACTCTCCCTCACACACACCCTCACACACACACACCCACTCTCCCTCACACACACTCACCCACTCTCACACCCTCACACACACCCACCCACTCTCACACCCACCCACCCACTCTCACACCCTCACACACACCCACCCTCACACACACCACTCGCACCCACCACCTACTCTCACACCCACCCACCCACTCTCCCTCACACACACCCTCGAACAAGCCCACCCACTCTCAGACACCCACCCACACCTCCCTCACACACACCCTCACACACACCACCCACCCTCACACACACCCACCCACCCTCCCTCACACACATCCCCTCACACCCACCCACCCACCCACCCTCACACACACCCTCACACACCCACCCACCCTCCCTCACACACACCCACCCTCACACACACCCTCACACACACCCTCACACACACCCTCACACTCTCACACCCTCACACACACCCACCCACCCTCCCTCACACACACCCTCACCACCCACCCACCCACCCTCACACACACCTCACACACCACCCACCCACCCTCCCCACACACACCCTCACACCCACCCACCCACCCCACCCTCACACACACCCTCACACACCCACCCACCCACCCTCCCTCACACACACACCCACCCTCACACACACCCACCCCACACCCACCCACCCTCACCCTCCCTCACACACACCACCCACCCACCCTCCCTAACACACACACCCTCACCCTCACCCACCCCCACACGCCTGCGTTTACCAAGTCGGCCGTTAGTCGATCGGGCGATCGCTTTTCGGGGGTAATAATGGCTTAAAAAATAATAATATTGTGGTAATAACCGGATTACTGTGTGTGTACCTGAGCCGCACGGATGGTTATACTCAGCCATCGCCGCGTTACCTGCGGACAACCCAGACATCAGTGTCGCACACACGCACACACACACGCACACACACACGCACACACTACGCACACACTACGCACACACACACCCACACGCACGCACACATCACGCACACACCACGCGCACACACATCACGCGCACACCACCCACGTACACCAGTCATACACATCACCCACACACACCACTCACACTAACCACACACACCACTCACACACACACATTCACACTCACAACACACACATACACATACACACATCCACAGGGCAGTGTCACACACACTCACACACACACACTCACACACACCACCCACACACACTCACACTCACACCCACCCCCACAGGTCAGTATCACACACACCCACACACACACACACACATCCACAGGTCAGTGTCACACACACACTCACACACACTCACTCACACACACCACCCACACACACTCACACACACTCACCCCTACAGGTCAGTGTCTCACACACACACCCCACACCCCCACCACACCCCACAGGTCAGTCTGTGGTGCCTGTAGCCCGGTGGCCGGTGGGCCGGTGGCCGGTGGGCCGGCGGCCGGTGGGCCGGCGGCCGGTGGGCCGGCGGCCGGTGGCCGGTGGCCGGTGCCCGGTGGGCCGGTGGGCCGGTGGCCGTTGGCTGGTGGGCCGGTAGCCGGTGGGCCGGTGGCCGGTGGGCCGGTGGGCCGGTGGCCGAGGCTGTCGGTGCCACCTTGTGGGCGCGGTGTACCCGGGTACCTGTCTCGTAGTAATCGTACACCCTGATCACCGCGGGTTTCAAGTTGCCGACGGGAACCTCCTGTGCCAATGTGACTCTGTACGTCTCGGGATCGTTGGTGACCTGCGGACAGGAGCGGCCATTAACAGCCACAATAACCCCGGCAGCGCACACGGGCGGCTCAAAGCGCTTCACCGGACACGCCGTGGCGTGTAGTGACTGTGCGTTCCGTGGCCGAAACGCGACGGCCAAATGCGCACATGTCGAGTGTGAGGATTATTATTATTGTTATTATTATTATATTATTATTTTATTGTATTACTAAACTATCATTTTATTATATCACTATGTTATTATTTATTGCACTCTATTACTATACTATTATTGCGATATTATATTATTTTATTATGATATTACTATTTTATATTACTTTATTATGATATTACTATGTTATATTACTATGTTTTTATATTACTTTATTATATCACTATGTTATTATTTATTATACTCTATTACTATATTGTATTACTTTATTATGATATTACTATGTTATATTACTGTGTTATTATATTACTTTATTATATCACTATGTTATTATTTATTATACTCTATTACTATACTATTATTACTATATTATATTACTTTATTATATTACTTTATTATATTACTATGTTATATTACTATGTTATTATATTACTTTATTATAACACTATGTTATTATTTATTATACTCTTTTACTTTACTATTATTACTATGTTATATTACTTTATTATGATATTACTATGTTATATTACTATGTTATTATATTACTTTATTATATTACTATGTAATTATATTACTTTATTATATCACTATGTTATTATTTATTATACTCTATTACTATACTATTATTACTATATTATATTACTTTATTATGATATTACTATGTTATATTACTATGTTATTATATTACTTTATTATATTACTATGTTATATTATTATGTTATTATATTACTTTATTATATTACTATGTTATTATTTATTATCCTCTATTACTATACTATTATTACTATATTATATTACTTTATTATATTACTTTATTATATTACTTTATTATATTACTATGTTATATTACGATGTTATTATATTACTATGTTATATTACTATGTTATTATATCACTTTATTATATTATGTTATTATATTACTTCATTATTATATTATTATGTTATATTACTATGTTATTATATTACTTTATTATATTATTTTATTATATTACTTCATTATTATATTATTATGTTATATTACTATGTGATTATATTACTTTATTATATTATTTTATTATATTACTTTAGTATTATATTATTCTGTTATATCACTATGTGATTATATTACTGTGGTATATTATTATATCCCTATGTTTTATTATTATTATCAGCGATGGCCACGGTGTGCGCCGACACTCACAGAATCCAGATACAGGTGCAGTTGATTCTCCTCCACTTCGTATTTCCTCACAAGTCCCAGAGAGTGAAGCTGAGAGCGAGAGAGAGAGCGACAGAGGAGAAGGTGTGAGCGCAACACCTGGACAAGGGGTTGGGGGTTGGGGGTTGGGGCTGGGGTTGGGGGCTGGGGGTTGAGGGACTGGGCTGGGGTTTGGGGGTTTGAGGGCTGGGCTGGGAGTTGGAGGGGGCTGGGCTGGGGGTTGGGGGCCGGGTTGGGGGGGGGGATTGGGGGTCTGAGCTGGGGATTGGGGGCTGGGGGTTGGGGACGGGGTTGGGTGCTGGGCTGGGGTTTGGGGGTTTGAGGGTTGGTCTGGGGGTTGGGGGCGGGTTGGGTGCTGGGCTGGGGTTGGGGCCGGGGTTGGGTGCTGGGCTGGGGGTTGGGGGCCGGGGTTGGGTGCTGGGCTGGGGGTTGGGGGCCGGGGTTGGGTGCTGGGCTGGGGGTTGGGGGCCGGGGTTGGTGGGGGTCTGGGATGGGCTGGTATGGGGGGGGGTTGGGACCTGGGGCCAGTGGAGGGGGTGAAGCCATGTTGGTTCCTCACCAGAAACAAGGAGGGCTCCGCGATGGTGTAGCCGGACAGCAGCTCAATGCTGATGATGACCATAGTGGAGACATGAGCCGCGGCTTTAGTGTAACTGTCCAGAGAGAGAGAGAGAGAGAGAGAGAGACTGTTCGCCTGTACCGCACAGCGTCAGTTCGCCTGTACCGCGCGGCGAGAATCGCGGAGCATTACAAGCGCGGAAGGAGGCCATTCGGCCCATCTGGCCCGCGCCGGCCCCTTCGGCGGAGCCGCACGATTCCCGGTCCCAAGTCCCCCCCTTGGAATCAATCGCCGGTCGCGACAACCGGAGTAACGACCGGTCATGATGACCGACGCCGCCTGCGTCGGAGAGGCCCCACCCCACCCCCCCCCGCGGGGGGTCTGCGTCGGCCCCCGAGACTCGCTCGGTTCTCTCACCTGAGGGTGATGTCGATGTCCAGCCTTCTCTTCTCAGCCGCCCCCGGGCAGTGTGCGGGGCTCGTGACCACGGTCAGGGCGAAGGCGGGGTCCCAGTGACCGGGCCACACATTGTAGGTCAGAACCGTCTGGAGAGAGAAGACCATGTGGGTTCAGGTGCCCCCTCCAGTGTTGGACACCGTCTCCAGTAGTTAGACCCCTCCCCTCGCCCCCCACCCCACAGCCCCTGTAGCTCAGGGGTTAGACCCCTCGCCCGCACCCCACAGCCCCTGTAGCTCAGGGGTTAGACCCCCCCACCCCACAGCCCCTGTAGCTCAGGGGTTAGACCCCTTGCCTCGCAAGCCAGAGGATCTGGGTTCGATTCCCGGGTGGGTCAGGTCAGGGCGAAACATTGGGCAAGTTTCCTTACTCCCCCGCGCCCCCACCACCCCACCCCCCAACCCCACCACACACACACACACCTCTATTTGCAGTAGGAACCCACTTGTTAGTCGATTGGCGGATCGAGAGAGAGAGAGAGACGGAGTTGACGAGAGCGCGAGATATTGGAAGAGGGGAGTGAGAGGGGAGGAAGAGAGAGGGAAGTGAGTGGTGAAGGCGTGAAGGAGGACACCATTACTAACCTGGATGTGGACACACCCATGACCCTGGAGCCTGGCGCGATACTGTGCAGGAACGACCGGCAACACCACGGCCTGAAGCTTGAAACGATTGGTCTCGTTGACTTGAAATGTTTGCGAGAAGGAATCCTTGTCGGTGATCTCCACGGTGGCTCTGGTGGGACCTCGGTAGCTTTTGCTGGAGAACATGGCCAGAGCGTGAAGGGCAACAACCGTGTCCTGTCGGAGCAGAGAGAGAGAGAGAGAGAGAGAGAGAGAGATGTTAGACCAGGTCTCTCCTCCATCAGTTCATCATCGCTCTTCAAGTTCCCAATGGATCCCAACACTGTCCGTCCCCACTCCCCAGGTCAGGGTGAGAGACACAGTAAAGCTCCCTGTTCCTCTGTGTCTTGGGGGGGTGGGGACTGTGAGCCCAGGTACAGATGTTCCCCCCACCCACCTCCCCCCCAACGACCCCATGTTCATCTCGGAGTCTATGGCCAGGACCTGAGATGATGAGAAGCCCCCATTTGGGTTCTGTTGGCCTATTAGCCACTTGGCAATGTTGGAAGCAGTCAGGATCTCTCTGGTTGACATCTTTGGTGTGGACACAAGTGCCAATAGGACGTAAGAGGTCATCTCCACTTCGGTCGCTGATGAGTCCAGACGATCGCTCCCCTGGGCATTGGCTCCCGGGCTTCTCTCCCAGTGCATTGAGTCGCCTGTCAACACCAACAGGGGAGAGGGTGTGAGACTACTGACCTCTGTGTGAGGCCATTAATAATAATAAGATTAATAATCATTGCATTTGATGAAGCATTTTCCTACTTACTGCTGGTCCACAGAGGCTGTGGGTGTGGGGGGGTGTGGGGTTGGGGGGGGAGAGGGAGAGAGGGGGTTGGGCGGGTATAGGGGGGATAAGGGAACTTGCCCAACGTTTCGCACCTGACCTGCCCCCGGCCCGGGAATCGAACCCACGGCCCTCTCGCTTGCGAGGCGTCCGCCCGCAATCGTCTGCCGCCTTCCGCCCGCCAAACGCGCAGTCACTACGCTCGACGGCGTGTCCCGGGAAGCGCTTCGAGACGCCTCAAAGGCGTGACCAGGCGATGGATCGACCGCGAGGATCGTCATCAGTGTCATCATCGGTAGTATCATTGCGGTTATTATTACTGCACTCCCCCGCGGTGTCCAGCGGTGGGTGGGGGGTGGGGGGGACACAGGGTTGACTGAGCGCCATCTTCTGGCCGTGGAGGTGTGAGTTGTTGTCGTTGGGTGGGGAGGGGGGGGGAGAGGGGGGAGAGTTACCTTCCCTTACGGCACGTTTTCTCAGCTCCGCCAGCAGGTTGTCCCTCAGCGCCGTCTCCCCGGCCAGCGTGAGCGTGTAGGCCAACAGCGCCACCGTGTAGGTGTCGGTCACTCCGTCCATGTGGGCCTTCACGCAGTCCAGAGCCTTCTGGACCGTCTGCGCCTGCGGGAGAGACACGGCCCGCGGTCAGTTGACATCGCGGCTCAGAAGGAGGCCATTCGGCCCATCGCGTCTTCCGAAACAACCCCACTCCCCACCCCGCGCGCGCTCTCTCTCTCTCTCTCTCTCTCTCTCTCTCTCTCTCCCAGAGCCCTGATCAACCCCAATCCCCCGCTCTCTCCCCATAGCCCCGATCAACCCCACTCCCCCCCACTCTCTCCCCTTCGCACCCTCTCCAACGCCCTGACATCCTTCCTGAGGTTTGGGGCCCGGAACTGAGCCCAGTCTCTCGCTGAGGCCTCACCAGTGCTTTTTTCCTCCTCTGAACCTTCTCCGCTCCTCAACTCCGACCAAACAGATTCTGTTTCTTTGGACCTTCTCGGACATCGTCCCTTTCCAGGGCCGCAACCGTGACTTTAATCAATATGGCCACCCACTCCTCCTTTTTTTCCTTCCCTATTGCCTTCCCCGTGTGGCAACCTTGAACCTGCAGCTCATGAGTCCTCAATTTGGTCAGCAAATTTATTGCCCCCCCCCCCCCACCCACCCACCGCCAATTAACTGTTAATTGACTCGGTTGCCCTGCTTAACTATCAGGTTGCCTCTACCTCAAGACGGATGTCCCCCTCGTTCCGCTGAACGAAAGAGTTCGTGCTTGGCTCTCAGTGACTTCTTTGGCTGAAGAATTCCCACTCTCACCAAATTCCTCGACAGAACTCGTGGATCGGGCGACCATATTTTTTTTGAAGGCGCAATTACCCCCGGGGGGGGGGTGGGGGGGGAAGCAATCCTAATTGACTAACGACCGGTTTTCCTACTGACTGCTGGCGAACCGAGGCACGTGCGCGGGAGTAAGGAAACTTGCCCAACGTTTCGCCCGGGAATCGACAGGACTACGCCATCGCTAGCGCCTTATCACTTGTCGAGACGTCTCGGAGTATACTGTAGTGACTGCGCATTTTCCTGGCTTTGGGGGGGCAGGGGAGGGGGGCGGGTTTGGCGGTGTGAATGCAAGTTGTTGTTGTTGTTGTCGTCGTGTCACACTCACCGTGTTTCCGTGCCGCGTTTCCAAGAGCGCCAGCAAGACGTACGCGTTCAGTGTGAGCGCGTCTCTCACCCCTCCCTGGGAACCGAGGAATAAATGGCATTCATGTCGCGCTTTTCGTGTGGTAGTAATATAATAATAGTAATAATAGTAATAATAATAATAATAATAAAACAATAATAATAATCCTCCCGTTTGACCCGGCGCCCGACCGCGTCTTCGAGACGTCTCAAAGCGCCTCACGAATTATTGTTGTGTCGAAGGGATTATTACCCCCGGAAAGTGATCCCCAATCGCCTGACAAGCGACTGACCGCCGGGGACACAGGCGCGTGCGCGCGTGTGTGTGTCTGGGTGCGTGCGTGTGCGTGTGTGTCCCTGTGCGTGCGTGCGCGTTGGGGGTAATGGGGAGCAAGGAAACCTGCCCAAGGCTTCGCCCCGACCCGACCCGACCCTCCCGGGAATCGAACCCGGGTCCTCTCGCTCGCTCGCGGGGGCCCTGTGGTGGGAGTCTTAACCGGGAGATGAGGGTCCCGGTTGCCATCACCGAGGGACGAGAACGGACGTGGGACCTGCAAGCTCTTGGAGAAGACTTGGCCCAGGTGGCGGAAGCAGCCCGAGGGCAGCTGGTTGCTTTGGAGCCAACGCAGGGGGGCACCGAGCTCGTTGACCCCGATATCGATGTACCTCTTCGCGTGGGAAAAAGACTTCAGGACGAAGGCGGTGAGCCTGGGAAGGAGACATGGGCGTCAGAGCTCCGAGGGCTTCCCAGGCCATGGACCACACGGCAACGTCATCATCAACAACAACTTGCATTTACACAGCGCCCTTCAAGGTCCTTCTTCCTTCCCCCCACCACCACCTACAGCTCTCCGACCTCCTCTCGTGTCGGGCTGTCCGCTAACCTCCTCTCAGCGGACGCCGGGAGTTGGGGGTCAGGAGGGGTGGAGGGCAGGGTTAGGGGTTGGGGGTGGGAGGGTGCCCGAAGGCGCAGTCGAAGGGGGGAGGTCTTTAGACGGGACTAAAGAGGGTGTGGGAGGGGGCGAGGGGGAGGGACGGGGGGATGGAGTTCCAGAGGATGGGGACAGAGTGGCTGAAGGTCCGACCGCCAATGGTGGTGGTGGGGGGGGGGTGCGAGGCGGGGGACGTGAAGCAGGCCGGAGCCCTCTGGGCGGAGGGAGCGGACAGGTTGGTTGGGTGTGGGGGGGTGGGCGGGGCGGGGGGGTGAGGGTGGGGGGTGGCGGGGGTCCCGGAGCCCGGTGTTGAGACCTACCAGGTGTTGCCCCCATGATCCTCATCGCCAAACACACTGTACGATCCGTCCGGGTGTTTGAACGAAGTTGCCGCTGATACCCTGAGTAACAACAGGAGGTTAGACTCCACACACAGTAATAGCAATAATAATAATAGTAATAATAATAGTAACAATAATAGTAATAATATAAGTAATAATAATAGGAATAGTAGTAGTAGTGATAATAGTAATAATGACAGTAATAATAATGGTAGTAATAATAATAATCGCTGCGTCTGATACGGCAGCTCATCACGTCTCAAAGCGCTTCACAGAACACACTGTAAAGTGTAGTGACTGTGTGTTTTGTGGGCGAAACGCGGCAGCCGATCGCGCTCAGCGTCGTCCCCAACACAGCTGTGGATTGAGCGACCGCATTTTTTCGTTGCCGCTGCGGGCGGTGGGGGTGGGGGGGGGGGGGGGCGGGGAGGGGGGGGGTTTGGGGTGGGGTTGGGTGTGGGGGGGAGAATGGGGGTTGAGGGGTAAGGAAGCTTTCCCGAGGCCCCAGCGCGGGTCCAAACCCCGACTGCCCGGCCCAGCGCCTTGGGCCGTCCTCCTGACATGAGGGGCGGGCGCTGTGCGAACGTCCTGTGACGTTGTCGTCGCCGTCGCCGTCGTCGTTGTCGTTGTTGTCCTCGTCACTGTGAGGGCTGAGGAGGCGCGCGCTGTACCTTTCTTCAGGAACTCGATGGACCGGACCCTGACGTCCTCCGGCAGTTGCCGTGTGTTCCTCAGGTAATCGAGGACGTAGACGTTGGGGATGAACCTCACCAGGTTCTGCCCCCACACCCGGTCGGCAGCGTCAGCAGCTTATCCATGTGATGGAAGGCTACGCCCATCAGGTCACCTGTGGACGTCAACCAGCCGTAGTAATAATAGTAACAATAGTAATAATAATAGTAGTAATAATAGCAGTAATAATAATAATAGTGGTAATAGTACTAATCATAGTAACAAGGGTAAGGCTGGTGGAGACACTTGTGGGATGGATGGAGGTCCAGAGGG